GACTTTCATGCGTGCGACCGCGAAGCACTTCGCCACACCATCGACACTGGTCAACTATCTTGGTTTGTATGCGTAAGTTCAATCGAGCGACCCTGAGAGAGAGTGAAAGAGAGAGAGAGAGTGAAAGAGAGAGAGAGAGAGAGAGAGAGAGAGAGAGAGAGAGAGAGAGAGAAAGAGAGAGAAAAGCAGGATGCAAACCAATTTGAGCCCGGGAAGATAGAGAGGGAAACAGGTAAAGCGTATGACTCTTACATATTTTATAAGATACCAACTCTCCAGTAATATAGCACCCTAATTGGAGTACGTCTTGACCAGCTGAAGTGGGGTGATATTGGTAAGGGAAGAAATAGCTTATACCCACTTCTGCAGTATCTAGTTTCACATAGTTTAAGAAAAGTCATAGGGTGTGAATAAAAACTGTCATTATCTATCTATCTATCTATCTATCTATCTATCTATCTATCTATCTATCTATCTATCTATCTATCTATCTATCTATCAGTCTATCTATCTATCTATCTATCTAAACAGACAAACTTAGGGAAAGAAAAATAAATAGACATACAGACCAAAATATCATAAGTAGATAGAACGTCAGATGGTTAGATAGACAGAAGGACAAATAGATCGGGAGATGTTCTCACCAGCTTAAACATGGCTTCTTGTGATTCTTCTTTTATTCCTGTCCCTGATCGACAGATGACAAGCAGTTGAAAAAGAGAAGAAAAAAAAGAGAACTGCACAATCAATTCTGATGGACAAGCTGCAAGCTTATTGCGAAGCGCAGAACAAAGGGCGAGCAGTTGGAAGGCCTGTACTGGCGAGGACAGGTCATCACATCAGTAATCCTACAGAAATGCTGTGGCCAATCTATGTCATACAGCAGAAAGCCAAACGGGGAAATATCAGATCCCTGATGTTATAGGAAGACATATCCTTTTTTATGTTGTTTTGTTCATTCTTTTCTTTCTGCTGTTTTCATCAAAGACGTTTTTAATGACAAGTTAGAGTATGCTCGTGATATTTCTGGATTCTATAAGAATTGATATTAACTCCTACGGATTATTTTTAAAATCTTGGGGTAATTCTGTTTTTCTAAGACGGCGTTTTCTCATGATCTTTTGGTCTTTTGTCAGCCAAACGACCCGAGAATGCAAATATCATTGATGAGTGTAGAGTCAAAAGGTGCCTTTCGCCCCGCTGTCGCACGAAAAAAACCCCAACAACCTGAGTTCGATTCCCGTTTGGGGAGAGTTTTTTAAAAATATCTTGGTCTCTCTGTTGGGACCGTGTGTCTCTCTCAGCCCAGGTGGACATGAGAGGCCTTCCAAATTCTCTAAATAAATTGTGCCAATGGGGGCGTAAAACATCAAAATAAAAATATTATTTTAAAAAATGCCCATGGTCTGAGTTCTGAAAAAAAAACAAAGTTGATTTTTTGCGGTTACTTTCCCAGCAACATATAGAAAAAGCAGTACCCAGCCTACTCCCCCGAAAAAATGCCCCCAAAAGAAAGTGCACAAGATATGTAGGAAATTAAATCTGATTCTAGCATTTTATATCTCCCTCAGACATCAGCCTTTAGACAAATTAATAGAAAAAACAAACAAACAAACAAAACCCCCAACGCATTAATTTATCTGGAAGCATTCATTTTACTTCAATTGCAAACTGAGGATAAACCGTTGACGCGACATATCTGCCTAGACTAATCTATTTTGAAAGGAATGCAAAATCGTAACCAAATCCAAACCAAAACGGTTATTTAATATTCGTAGCCTTATTGTCAAAACAGCCCAGTCGTACACATACTAGCTGCAAGAGTTTCGATTGTTTCGACCCTGTCGGTTTGGAGTTGGGAGGAAAAAAACGACCCCAGGGCGTTCCTTGGAGGATGAGTGAAAAGAAATGAAAGTGAACAGGGTGCAACGTCCTTCACACGTTACTGGCCCACCATTGGGAGCTCTCACGGTGATATTAAGGGCATCTCATGAAGAATGGCTCTCTTTCACCCACTCCCTGTCTGTCTGTCTGTCTGTCTGTCTGTCTGTCTGTCTGTCTGTCTGTCTGTCTGTCTGTCTGTCTGTCTGTCTGTCCATTC